TATACCGAACATATACAGAACATATACTGAAAATAATTTCAGATCCAGGCGAGTTGTTCATAATTCTCATGAATTTCATTCCAATTTCGATTTTCATTCCAATTTCCCTGAAAATAATACATTCTGGTCGAGCGTGAAAACAAAAATTATCTAACTTGAACAACTGATGAGGGGTAACGGGTAAAGGCTCCGATTCTCGGCTTCTCGCTCGCCTCGTTGTCTGCTCGCGTGAACCCGCGCCTGCTCGACACTCGACTCGCCACGGGTTTGGCCGCTGCTAACACCCGCGTATGACTGCTGTTGAAGAAGACGGTGACTATACGACCCGATGATGGTACCCCGGTCGGCTGCTGTGCGACGGCCTGGGTTGACGGTCGCTCGCAACTTGCTGGCGAAGAAAGACATGACGACGGGGGGAATTATGGACGACCGAAGGGGCTGAGAAAATCTTTTCTCTGAAATTCTGATGTTCGATTACAAGAGTCGAAAAAATTCTGATGTGATTTGTTCAAGAAAATCTGATATAATTACTTTTGTGGCATATCTGCAAATAAAAAGTACAATTTGTTTAATATGGCAATTATTTATATATTTATATTAATTGTGTAATAAAAAGTATAATGTATGGTGTTTTGAGTAATTTTCTCTAATATATTCTACAAAGCAACTTATATTGATTTTATATGGCGTTGAAAACTTACGAGATATTGATACGTGGCTGGTGGACACATCGTATGGATGGGTAAGTCCAATATCTTGTGCATGGCCGCGAGGTTTTATATTCTACAAAGCAACTTATACGTCAATAAATTAGATTAATTTTACTTTATATAATGTTGAAAACTTACGAGATATTGATCCGTGGCTGGTGGACACATTGTAATATGTGCATATGGATATTTTTTATCATCCAACACCTTCACACAAGTTTTAAACATAGGGGTCGTGAGTAATTAACTTGATCGATAATAACATATAATAAGCAAATGAATAAATATTTTATGAAATAATTAGTGTAGTTCATTAAAAAAAATGTTATTTCTTATGGTTCACACACATAGTTACCCTAAATTGTTAGGGTCCGAGCTTATTCAGATACACTCATCAGTCACGTGTGAGTATTATGATCTCGTGATCTTTCAGTTACATACCTACAGTATATGATTTACTAATCTTCCGCTACATTAATTGGCGGATGTATTAATGAATGATGAGAGAGGGACTACGTAGTTGCCATATAAAAAAAATGATGTAATGTATATACTATATACACATAAATAGGGGTGAGCAAAACTGAGCCGAAATCGAAAAACTGCACCGAACCAAGCTATTTGGTGCAGTTCGGTGCGGTTTTTGATAAGTTTGGTTATCGGTGCGGTTTGGATTTTAAAAAACTACAAGTATTTCGGTGTGGTTCGGTTTTTTGTCTGAAGGGTGCGGTTTTAACCGAACCGCACTGAATGTCATAAAATGTCACTTTTTTATTTTTTTTAATAAAATATCACCTTAATTTTTATAATTTTGCTTACATAACATTAATTGGAGGTTATATTTTCGGTTAACCGAAAAACCGAACCGCACCGAACCGAAAATTTCGGTTCGGTGCGGTTCGGTTTTTCCTTCTATAGCGGTGCGGTTCGGTGAAAAAAAATTAAAAATTCAGTTTTCGGTATTTTTCGGTGTGGTGCGGTTTTTGACCGAACCGCACCGATGCTCACCCGTACACATAAAGAGCATCCAGTGATCAAAAATAATTTTATTCAAACAAATGACAATATATAGAAAAAAGTACTTTGGTCAATCGGATTGGCCACCTTAGATTTATACCTCGATTAATATGATCACCAAATCATGATTAGTAAAATATTTCAAAACACGTGATCGGACCTCTATTGCATTATAGGCCAATGTGATGTGTAGATTTGGGCTATATTTGGTAAAACTAGTTGATAGCTGATAAGCTAGTTTATAGTTTATTAGTAATTTTTGAGCTTATAGCTTATAGATTATAAGTTATAGCAAGAAGTTAGCTTATATGATAAAAATGTTGGTAAATTAGCTGATAAGTTAGGGGAAATAAAAATTTCAGCGAGCTTATTTGAAAAGCTACCCAAAGAAGCTTATGAGATAAGCTCGAGTTTTTTAAATAAGTTCTTTCTACCAAATGAAATTTATTTAAATACAGGAAGCTTATAAGCTAACCAAATAAGCTATAAGCTAGCTTATTGGTCTACGAAACATAACCTTGGTCGACCTTGACTCAAATCAGGAACATTGTGTAAAAGCTAAAATGAAACGGTTTATGATTTTTGGATCTTAGCTTTTCTATTCATAGTAGGAAATGTTTACTGGCTTGCATCAAGGAAATAGAATCATACTAAGAAAGGAATTGTCTACTCGTTTTATTTGCATGTTTTTATGTGGCCTACCATATAATAAAAACTCAAAATGACTATAAAACCTTGTAGTGTAGAATCTTATTAATTTTCAAAAACAATAGAATCTTATTAATTTTCAAAAACACATCGTTCGTTTTATTTTCCCGAGTACAACATTTGCATTTATAATACAAACAAATACAAAGGCAAATGTCGGCGAAAAAAATATATAAATTGAGAGCCAACACAAAACAACATTTCTCCTTAGCCAACCAAAGTTGAACTTCGCTTCGTTCGATGCAATTGACCTATGGGAGGAAGTTGAAAGATAGATTCCCTTGACTACTATGCAATTGACTCGACCCTCTATGACTGGACTTTGTTTCGCTCAATGTAATCAAGCCTTTGGTGATAGAATTGGATTTAACTTTATTCAAAATAAATTAATATTAATCCCAAGAGCATTCATATCGAATAATCGAGAATCATAGCCGAACAACGAAAGTGTACCTGATGAATTCATGTTGACTGAGTTCACTATAACTTGAATTGAAATTATGGGATTTGAAAATCTTCCAGAAGACCGTGAATTTTTCCCTTATTTCTTTTGACGTATGAAAGAAAACTTGATTGACAAATGATGTCACCC